ACGTATCTGCTCAATGATGTGAGGGTAGGCATCTAGGTTGAAATGCTTGAACATTGAAAGCGCTAGAGCATCCCGGGTAACAATGTCACGCTCCTCTTCCGGGATCTGCGGCTCGAAAGGCTCAAAAACCTGCCCATCATCTGCCACGCCACGCAAATAACGGATAAAACAGGCGAGGACAAAGACCAACCTCGAAGGATCTCCGTCTTCAGAGGCGACGGTCTTGAATGTCGGTGCGAGGAACGTTGTCAGTTTGCTCCATCCATCACCGGTGATGCGTGGCAGCCGGTCAATGATGTGTGGATTGCTGAAACGCTTTATGACGGTTGAGCGGTAAATATCGAGATCCATTCCCTTGGGAGCCGTCAAAGTAGGGGTGACGTCGCGCTTCAAGAAAGTATCAACCAGCTCGCGAATCAAGGGATGCGTGATGGCTTCGCGGACATTGTTGAGTCCGGCAAGCTGACCGGGATAAGCAAGAACGGAGTGCGCCGCATTGAGCATGCGGACTTTGACCAGTTCAAACGGTTCAACGTCATCGACCAGCTGAACGCCAACCTCTTCGAGGTAGGGACGCCCGTTTGTAAACCGGTCTTCCAGAACCCACTGGGCAAAATCCTCCGAAATGACGGGAAGAACATCCCGAATGCCGCTGGCCTCGTCAATTGGCAGTGCATCCTCCTTCAGCACCGCGGGGGTGATACGATCAACCATGCTGTTGGGAAACGTCACATTTGTTTCAATCCACTGGGCCAGATCGGGATCAAGCGCCTGAGCATGAGCGGCGACGGCACGATGCGTAATGGCACCGTTCTGGCGCAGATTGTCGCAGGACATGACTGTAAAAGGTGTAAGCCCCCTTGCGCGTCTCAGGCTGAGAGCCGCAACGATAAAGCCGAAGGCGCTTTGAGGATTAGTCGGGTCTGCCAGCTCAGCCTGCGTTACCGGATTTTCGAAATTGTATTTGCCCGTCCCCGGCTCCTGATTATAGCCGCCTTCTGTAATCGTCATGGACACGATACGCGTCTCCGGGTCCGCCATCTTCTCAATAACGGCCTGGGGGTTGTCGGGGGCAAACAGGTATTGCACGATGGAACCGATGATTTGATGCGTCTCCGACCCGTCTGTTCGGTAGCGGGTCAGAGTGTAAAGATTGTCTTGCTGGGCAAACACATCGCGCTTTAGCCGCTCGTTTTCATCATCGAGCAATCCGACACCACATATGCCCCAATGGGCATTGCCGGAATGTGCCAGAAGCTGGTCGAGATACCAGGCCTGATGTGAGCGGTGAAAATTGCCGACACTCAGATGCA